GGTTAACCGTTTCTAACCTATCGAAGCCTTTCAATTCAACCAATAAAATTAATATCGTATCATCGTATCGTCGGACAACGGATGCATGAAAATCAAGCTTTACTCAGTGCCGATTAATACTGAAAAGCAACTACAGCAACGCATTGACTGTTCCAATCAAATTCGGACAACACCAAGGATATTCCACAGGGTACCTACGCAGATCGTGGAGGTCAGATGTCTACATTGAAATGAATGGTGGTCACTTTGAACATTTACTATGAATGAATTAAGGAATGCATTATTTTAATAAAGAATTTTGGTAATTGGATTATTTCGTTTTTTAAAGCAATAAGATGTTTTAAAAACCATGAAATTTTGATTTTTCAATTAATTATTTGATAGCTAATTGGTTACTTTTGAACCGCCATAACTTTCATAAGTTTATGTTGATTAACCAGTTAGCAACCCATCAGAGCAAACTTTTTGTCTTCAATTTTCCCGAAAACTATCACTCTGAGCGATGTGCAACAAGTACCTTTTTTGTAGGAAAAGGTATGTAGTTCTCAAAAAATGAACCCACGTTACAAAAAAAATAACCTCAAAAAAGTTATTCACGAAACAACCCCCTGCCCTTGCAAAAACTACCCTCTCCGCCATTCCAAATAATTTTTCAGTATCACCATTTGATTTAGGGTCAAAATTTATGGCAGAGGATTTTTTTTCGAAGTTTTATCTCGTTTTTTAAGCCTACAATTTTAAAACAACCGTTTTTTAAATTCACCCTTTCAGTGTCCCTAACTCCCTTAATATGCATTTTCCGCCCTATACTTATAGGAACTTTTTTTACTATTTTTAGGAGTAATATCTACCCCCCGATTTTTTTACACCATTTCAATGACACCCTGTATACCTAAAATTCACGACTGCGATTTTAGTTTATTGGAGTAAAGTTAATTAATTTTAACCAATAATAACAATTGTAACTAATTAATCTATCAGTCTATCCAGCCATTCAAGGAAGAATATCATCAGACGACATCCAAACAATGACAGAAAATACAATTTACCGGTGACTTAAAATAGAGATACCGGCTCGCACTATCAGGTATTCTTCCGTTAGACAAATTTTACATAAATAAAATCATAATTTAGTTTTCGGCGAAGTCAGTATTTTGTCCGTATATCAGAGGCTCCTTCAGAAACGTCAACATTCACACTTCCAAACAGGTTGTAATTTAACCTGAATAAAGTGTGGGCAAAGTTTACTGGTCTGGCCATCATTCGGTTCCTTTAAAGATCCAACTTGGCGGAAAATTTCGCACTCTCCGAGCGAAAACTTGACGGGAAAACTCGACTAAAAACAAGATAACACAACTCTTAACATGCGGGCGAGACCTCGTCTAGTTTGATAAAGTACGACGTCGAGTAGATCAAAACAAGATAAATAACGGGCACGTGTAATAGAATTAACACTATGCGAGATGTAAACTGGTCTTTTGAGGTTTGTTAGACACGCTGTATGGCCAGATATAGCTAGAATATGCTAGGTTCTTTATGGGAAAAGTTGGAAATTCAGTTAGTCTAGGAATTTCCAAGATTATTACTGGCGATGCAAACTTTGGAGGTTGACTTTTATATCTAGGAGGATCGTTCCACCAAACTAAAATTTACCTGTTTTATGACTTTTGACAACTAAATTCAGCGCATTCAACCAGTTATTAACCAAAAAACTATATCGAATACAACCAAGTGAGTTGCAGCGCCTCTATAGCGCCTAAACTTTTATTGGCAAATACATAAAAACATTTTTTTTAACGTCACAAAAGTGTTAATTTTTGCGACTTGATTGACAATATAAAAAGATAATTTTAACGCCTAGGCATAAAAGTAAAGCACTTTTACGCCTAAGCACAACAAGTACAAAAATATATTATTAAACTAACATTAAGTGTCAAAGTCAACGAGTGTCTTCATTGTTGCTCGATATAATATAATTATTACCTACTTACAAAGTACCGTATGATCGAGAAAAAAAAAACGGCGTCAAAGACGGCTGGAGAATGACAATCGATGATAATTTTGGTTCGGTCAATCTCTAGACTCGTTTACTAAAAATTGATACAAAACGTGTCAAAAATTAACAAATTAATTATAGAAAGACTAAAATAAGAAATAATATCTAAATATAATAAGATTTTCCTTGATTTAAGTAAAAACAATCTTCGGATTGTCACTAGTGTTGCGCAAGACAAGAATTCTTGTTTTGAAAATCAATTCCTTGTCTTGTCTTGAAATTCAAGACAAGAAATTTTCAAAGTCTTGTCTTGCAGATTTCTCGAATGGCAAAGTCTTGTCTTGTCTTGCAAGACTCTTGAAATTTCTTGTCTTGAAAAATTTTACAGTTTAACAAAAAGGTAATAATATTTCTATACTTTATTTCATAGAAAGCGTCGTATACAAAATGTAATACAGAAAAATGAACAACAACGATGCTAATTTTAGTAAAAAAAATCTTAACGAATCGCAAACGAACTCGCCCGTTTGACGAAACAGGAGCCATTACCAAATATAAGCTGAATAAGAATAAGTCAGGTTAAGTTCGATTTATGGGTTTTGGGTTATTATTTCGTACCTAACCTCGTCCGTTTATTTTTTAGTTCTAGTTGTTAATTCTTGATAGTTTATTATGTGTTATTTTGGTTACCCGTTTGTTACTTTTATTTTTTATGGTATTTATTTTATTTTTTTTATTACGGAACATTGGTTGGAAAAGCTTGGACACAGGGTGTACGGAAAGGTCATGCTAAAGTGTACTATTTGCGCTATTTGATACTACTTCTTGTTCGCGGAGCAATTTCGTGCATGAAAAGTAGTACCGAATAGCACAAATAGCGTGCTCCACGAACCCACCATTAGTTTCAACTCCCGTAAGTTTTTTTTATAATACCATTATACCAATATAATTTTGTGTATAATACCAATTACCAATATACGGTTTGTTGCCTCGACTTTATTTTATTTCATTCTCAACTCTAAAACACCGGCTATGATAAAAAAAATGAACACTGGTCAATATTATTGCCGGGTTTATACAACATTTGCATAAGTCGTAATCATAATCACAGTCTTAATCATCGTCATAATCACAACGCAATTTTAATGTGCGTGTATAGAACATTTTCATAATCATAATTTTTATATCAGTGAAGTTGGGTGACATAATTAAAGGCTAAGTTCATGGTAGATGTCAACAGGTTTACAAGAAGTGGATAGTTTAACTTTTATGATTAGGACTATAATTGTGATTACGGCTATGTAAATGTTGTATAAACCCGGCATAATTTGCGCAAAGACCTAATTATCACTTAAAAAAATGTATCATTTCTAACTTTCAAGAAATCTCGAATTCAAGAAATCTTGCAAGACTCTTGAAATTTCTTGCATATTAAAGTCTTGTCTTGTCTTGAAATTCAAGACAGGAAATTGTGAAAGTCTTAGTCTTGCAAGACTTTTTCAAGACTCTTGTGCAACACTAATTGTCACGGGGTTTTAACAGGACACTGTCTCCTCAGTAAACACTTCAGTAGATCGAAGCTAAGAAATAACGGCAAATGCAGATTCTGTAGGGAAAATGGGAAAACACTAGAACACCTCATCACTGAGTGCGCCGAGACGACAACCATTCGTGCCATAAAGTTTGATACGACTGATATTGGAGATGGAAAAGTAACCTCTGTAGGGCCGTCTCATATACTGGCTTTAGTCAGAGCCCTGAGACTTTTAACTCAAGAAAGGAACAATAGATCTGAAAGGTCGCGGTGATTATCCCTGAGATCCCATACATTCTACATTCTACATCTTTAGTTTCATAAAAAAGTAGTAAAGTAATGTGAAAACCGCATCTTTCTATCTCTCCTCATAAAAACAGACGAAAATGGGACATCCTGTACTTTCCGCTATCTGTAATAAAGTGTGGGCGTAAAATCAAAACAAGAATTTCAGACAGGTTATATAAAACCTAATATAAACAAAGTTTTGCGTAAACTTTGATATAAAGTATATGTAAACTATAAATCAGGAAGGACAACACGAACTTTTTCTCGGTTATTGACTTCTTGAATATTTTTAAACAGCCGAACGTTAATCATATTTGCGTGTCTTCACTGTCTTTCTCGCTGTTAGATTGCTCAATAGAATCGTTATGAGAAAGTAAGAATGCTAGTTAGCACACTTCGATGCAATCCACGTATTTTCTGTGTCAATAAACTTAACTGACCAAGGTCAAGTTCAGTATTCAAGAGGATTTTATAATAAATTAAATAATCCTTATAAATAGAAAACAAAATAAAAGGAAATTTCATATTACAGGTCATGCATAAATACTAATAAACTGTATTATAATAATATTAAATTATGATAGTAATATAATATAGAGGGTGTATCAACTACAAGAATTGATATACATACACAGTAAAAAGTATTGATTATAATAGTAACTTTTCCCTGAAAATTTCATTTAAATCACTAAAAGCACTTGGAAGAAAATTATAATAAATAAAAAAAAATAAGAGTGTTAACCCACGCAAAGCAGAATCGGACCTATGTTGATACAAAAAATAAATCTTATTTTTACGTGAGGAATCTCCCCACATCTTTTAGACACCCTGTATAGGGTGTCCCGTTTACCTTTTTGTCAGACAATTGAGATAATAAAGGGTGTCTGAAAATACAATATTTTCTAAATTACCCTGTATCATTGAGTCTAAGAAAGTCATGACAATTTTTTGTTCGCGAAAAATGCAATGCTCTATCTTTACTAATAAGCCAGATAATAGATAAAATTCAATAGTTACCAAAATGACACACCCTGTATACATTTAATCGTTATTAACTTACAAAACACCCTTCGAACATTATATTAAGCGAAAGAATAACAGAATGATAATAAAAGAAATAATATGAAAAAACTTTCCAAAAATTATATGTTGTTAAAAAAATTATAGAAAATTTCAACTTACCTTTGCGAAGTCGATCTTAAGTGTGCAGCAGCCCGAATATATGTCTGCTCCATTTAATGTGTCCTTAGCTCTAACTGCTGATTCCACGCTGTCAAATGTAATATCTAGTTAAGGAAGTATGATTTCTAAAGTTCATTTCAATAATAGTTTTGATACTAATAGCCATTATTTTCCATACTATCGCCAAGGGGAATTAAATACTTAAATTTAATATATCAATAATTACAACCTATATTTAATAATTCGATATTTAACTATTACTCATATAAATTAAAAATTCTCTTTCTTCTTAGTTTTATTATACTTAATTACAACTAAGTATGGCATATTAAATACCGTATGATCGAAAAAAAAACGGCGCCAGCGATGGCTATGAAATGAATATCGCTGTTATTTTATTCCCCAGCCAACTTGACGCCGTTTTTTTTTTCGATCATAAAGTATAACTACTGGGCAGATTTTTTGAACCCATGTACAACTTTTGTGCCTTTTTGCAATTTAACTGTTTACTGAATTATTCTTCTTTTTTTACTTCTTGTACATACGCTACTTTCTCTCTTTCAGGTACTCAAGAGCAACTTTGTGTTTTTATCTCACAATGGAATACCAAAAATATAAACCAAAAATATAAATTAATGCAGTTTAGTTGCCAATAACGATCAAATCGAATGTATAAACTTAAAATATCTATTAGAATTCATAACAAGGCAGTTATACCGTATGATCGAAAAAAAAGGCATCCAGTTGGCACGGAAATGACGATCGATGACGGTCCTCATATAATTTTACATATAAAATGACAGCTATCTTCATTTCATAACAATCAGTGCCACCGTTTTTTTTTCGATCATACTGTATTAATTTTGGTTAAAGACAATAAAATATTAACCTTATTTCTATATATGTATATAACATAAAACCAATTTTTCCCTTAATAAATCCATTTTTTTTTGTTAAAAACGATTAAAATGCTTTCCCGTAACGCTAGACCAGTTAATTAAAATGCAAATTTGTAATTAACGAAATATTTACCGACCTTAAATAATTTATCAACTACAAAATTATCTAAAAACTCATTAGCAAAAAGTATTTACGTGTAAATGAAATTGTAATTTTCATGTAGGTATATAGTCATATACAACTAGAATAAATTTATTTTTAAAAGGACAAGATTAATTCGCATAAAGCTGGTCTGCAAAAACATTTTTTTTTCTCGAGCCCTGCACCATTCCCACTGACTTCTTATGTAAAATGGCGTCCTGAATGCAACTATAACGCCCGTTTTTTCCCTTCCCACTCCTATTTTTATCCCTTTTCGATAATAATTTTATGGACATGAATTTAATTGGGAGAAGTGAAAAGGAATTATTTTAGCTCTAAAAAATAATAAATAAAAAGATCTCTACTTCTATTTAGCGTTTGCTTGCCATTTATAACCTGAATATAGAGGGTGCTCTCTCGTCTCAAAAAGCAGCAGTACTCCGCGAACATGCTTACATTCCACTTCCCTGAAAATGTGTTCTCCTGCTTAGCGATGTCTTGATGGAACAGTTCCTCGTGTTCATGGCCCAGAACCCTTCTGCGGCGTTGCAAAAGCGGGCACGAGAATGGCCATGGAACGATGGATAGCCAACAAATCTCTAAAATGATGGAGAAACTCACCAGGGCAGAGACAGGCGAAAAAGTTCATTATAGAACATTCGCCAAAATTCACGGTAGACCTAATAAGCAAGAAGAAAAAGACAGTCAATGCTGTAGTAGGTCTACTAACAGGGCATTGTAAGCTGAATAGGCATCTAAAGCTGATGGGACTGACAGAAGAAGCTATATGTAGGTTCTACCAATCTGAAGAAGAAATGACAGAACACATTTTATGTCTGTGCGACAGCCTGGCAAATGTGCGATTCTCGGTAATAAGGATTCAGTCTCCAAGTTGCTAAACTTCGTGAAAAAAATAGGACTTATGGAGAATGTAATCTAATGATCAGAAGAGGACCACAATAGATCTGAGAAGGTCGCAGTGGATCAGGCCGAGAGCCACCTCTAAGAGCCTATCTATCCTCGTGATCATCCGAAACTGCTCCTAAATTTTCAGGGAGGAAGTCCAGGTGCGAGTGAAAAAAATGCACCTTAAGAGGTATGTTACATCCCATGGACACAATCAATATAATCATTACTTTTGTGGTTACCCAAATGTTCCACATGTTTTGGATTGCAAAACATCGTTTTTATTTTCGATTCAGGTAAAAAATATCGAATATTGGAAAAGATGTATAAGCTGGGGACCCACAAAAACTCCTTTCTAGACTTTAGCCTTGTAAGACGAGGAAGTTACGTGAAATGCATCACCTATCTGTTACTTTCACAAACTGTTTGGTCAACTGTAGTTTGATGTGCAAAGGCGGAATGTGCAAAGGATCGTGGACTCTCACCGGGAGTAAATCTTTTTCGTAAATTTTATTATAGTTTCTATATACTTTTATATATCAGCATGTTGCTTTCTATATTGCTATACAGTTGATATTATAATATTTCTAATAATTATAATATTTCGATTCTCAGTAAAGAAACGAAAATAAGCATTATTACTTCCAAGAGAGTAAGAAAGACAAAAAAAGCATTCCTGAAGAAGCATTACATTAAATGCGAAACGTTGTGCAACGAAAGATTTTTGTTTTAATTGACCATAACCACAACACCCAAAGAAACAACTAATAAAACTTATAACTTTATTACCTATTAGGGATGGAAGGTGAAATTTATGTCAAAAAGAAGTAAAGAAATCCTAGACCTTTCCTACAAAAGCTCATGTTTTCAGAACACTTAATATCTCTAGTACCCCAGAAATAACAATATAGAAGTCAAAATAATCTTTTTCATCCCACCAAACTATCGAAAAGCAGTAAAAATAGGTAGGAAGTTTAAAAAAGAGAGGTTATGGAAGAAAACGGAGTTCATATTTGGATAGAGGTCATTTTACACGAGAATCCACAAGAATTTTGTCAGGTGCAATTATATTTCCACGCAGAATATAAAGTAAACCATTTACTATATATATGTAAGAGATAAGAGTTTTCCTGTGGAGAAATAGGCTATTATCCAAAATGACACAATAGTGTCCCAAAATGACACACCCTGTACTCATTGTTGATTGAGGAAAAAATTGAAGAGGAAAAAAACTATGCACAAATCTATGGGAAAAAACCGGACCCTCATTACCCCCCTATTAAATAATCGAACTTATTGCAGTATTAGTTATGATTGTCTTCAGCCCTAGTATGCAACGATGCTGTAATACATCTCGGACAACCTTTGTGGCACAAATTCGCCAATAAGATTGTGCATCTTTTTTATTTCCTCAATCGATGTTAATTAATATTAGCTGAAATTAAGTTTAATATATTATCAATGTAATTAAAAAGTATTGTGATTAAACCTGCTTATTAATGGTTAAGTAGATCAGGGTTCCCCATCTGGACTTCGCCTACTGATGTAAAACCGGTACCGGTAATATTACTGGTAATTTTGGTAATATTGCGTAACATTACCGCAAGATCGGTAACATTGGAAATATTGCTTTTTTCCGCCCTTCTCTTTTTCATTTGCCCAGCTCTAAAATAAGTATGTTGGCTCTGGACCATACCATACATAGATAAAGGTGCTCTAGACATTTTAAATTTACCATCGTCCCCAGCCGCAACTGAAAGAACTTAAATTAACTTAAGCCTGCTTGACATGTAAGCTGGAAGGCAGCCTACTCACTTTGGTGCAACTTTGATGTTAAAAAGCCTTCCATCTCGACTTTAAACAAACAGTTAATATTATACAAGCAGCGTACAAGTAAGACATGCGCAGCATTATTATATGGCGATATCCAAGCGTACTTGGTTCAAGTAACTTTGACTATGTCACCCCGCCTTTATGAATTGTATTGAACTTACTTATATTGCCCAATAATTATAATTTACTGAATACAATTACTACAATTATAATTTACTAAATGGAGAAGAATATCCAAGAATGGTAGAAGCTGCTAAGAAAGAAATGTAAGAAAAAGAAGATATCGATTTGAAAGTAAACTTAAGGGAAATAAATAACGCTTTATTGTACAAAAAGCCAAAATAGCTTCATCGACAAAGCTTTTACAAAACAGACAAAAGCACGAAAAGAAGAAACCAGTTGACGAGATTGGGGATGATTTACCATTATCCACTCTATTATGTACTATAGACCACTCTGACTCTTATAAAAATATAATTTATATTCTAGATTCTATACAGGGTGTCCCAGAAATAAGTGCAAGTATTTTAAGGGGTGGTAGATGTGGACAAAAGAAGCATATTATTTTCTCTTTACCATTTCTAAAATATATTGGATAACCTAAAAATACCATCAGCTGATTTCTTTAAATGTAGGTCAATGTTGACTATTCAAATATCTAACAGATGGCACTGATTCTGAACTGTTGAAAAGATGCTATAATTGTTCATTATTTAGTTTTACTATACTATAAAATTAATTTAAGTAGGTAGTTTTAGTATGAAATTTAAAAATGTTAACTTATAACTTATAAACATACAGAATGTGGATAACGTAACACTATTAACAAATTTCCTGAAACTGAACAAGCGACACTCAAAAGTTTTTCAATATTTTCCGGAAAATGTCAAGAAAAATATAAAATTTTCAACATTTCGTTCGCAAAAAAACTCATGGGCGTGATTCTGGAGTCGAAGTATACTACCAGTTAAAATACTTGCACTTATTTCTGGGACACCCTGTATACTTCTGATATAGATAGATTTCTGCACTAGATGGTTAGTATTTTAGCTGATTGTTCTAGTAACTGAAATAACTCCTTCACAGATTCCATTTGCCATATTTTGCTACAGATAAGGTTTACAAAAACTATGCTCTATTACATACGCTCCCCGAATCTTCACTTGCATTCGTATCTGTTTACATATTAAGCTGTCATAATCTTCAACTTTCCAAGTGGCGTGCAGTGAAATTTTTGGATGGGGAAGTCATTCGATAAAGGCAATAGAAAAGTGAAAATTATTTTTGTATACCTACAGATAGTGATGGGCATTACGA